AAGGGGACGAGATAGGATCGGTCAGAAAGATCGATCCTGGTTCTAATGAAAATGTGACTATTTGGCTCACTATTTTGCCTTAAGTTTCATTTAAAAAAATCACATTCAAATATTATGTCTATTTCCTGAAATTTCTAATCCTGCCTCATCATGGAATATGTTGGCTCTAAATGTTCTGAGAAAGGAAGAGTGCTTTAACAGCAAAGTTCAGCTCATTGCCGTCAAGCTGAAGTTGGCTCCTAGCTGACCCTCCATGGCATGGGAGATTGCCTAGCTTTGTCTCTCTGAATAGCTAATTGACTTGAACTGCCTGCCCGTGGGGTGACAGAACGTCTCCTTACCCACTAGGCCACCCGAACTCCCAGAGTGCCCATTTGGTGACTGTCAAGTGCACACGCACCCAAGAAAAAGATGAGAGGCCACAGGTTTCTGATGCCAGTCACATCTTTTAAACCTCACTGCTCTTTCACTTAGGGACCCAGAGACTGGCTCTCCATGCATGCTGTGAAGTCTTTGCATTGGGATCGAGGGCATATGGACCTAGAGACTTTACCTGACTCAGCCCACTGCCCATCTGGACATCCTTCCTGGCCAGCTGGGCTGGTGAATTGGCGAGAAGAAGAGGTTTCCTTTCACTGGTCTGGTTGCTTTGTCTGACATCAGCTGCTGTTTTCCTTTGTCACATCTGTCTGTTTCTCCCTGGCAGGAGCTGGAGCAGAGACGACAGTCCCTGTCTGCCTGCGAGCTCCCTCCAACTCCTGGGCTCAGGTCTCTCTCAGAAGGGTTAAAGCTCTGGGAAGCCTGACGAGTTCTGTTCAGTGGATATTCCATTTAGAAGTGGCTTTTGGTGCCAGAAGCGTGGGCATTCGTGTGGAAACAGAAAGTGCTTCTGTGAAAGGGAAAAAACAAACAAAGAAAACAGTAACACCTACCTACAAAGTGGTGTTTGTACAAGGAGATTGTCTGCCGGCCTTACTCATAAAGCATAGTCCAAAATTGTAGTTGCCTAGAATTTTCATTTCTTATTCTCTTTTGCCCCTGGAAGCAGGAGCGGCATCCACTTCCAAAATGGCTTGCCTCTGGAAACTCTATGTACGAACAGTGCTCAGGCTGTTCGTTCATAGGGTCGCTATGAGTCGTCTACGACTCGATGGCATTAAACAACAACAACAATTCTCTTTTGCCGGAAGCAAGTTGGTACCCAGGCCCTCTCGTTGTGTCTTCGGACAATGTCTTTCTTCTCATTGGTTGAAGGACCACCAAGCCGCTGGGGGGCTCCCCCAAGTTTCTCTTCCTCCCACCTTCTTTAAGCTTTCTTAATTTGGCTTCTTGTGGTGTAAGATTCTTGGCTGGCATCACATTTTTAATACCAGGTAAAACCTAGACAGTGCTAATATCCACCTTAATCCCGTAGCATTTGGTACATTCGAAGTGTTGCTCAAACACCACCTCTGCTGTTGGTGTTGGTGGTAGATGCCATGGTGTCAGCTCTGACTGGGTCCCGCTGGACAAGCGCACCTGCCCCCTGAGCCCACACCATCCTCAGGCTCCCTGCCCATTGTCATAGCCATTGTGTCCGTCTTTGCAGCTCGTGTACATTCTTGCTCTTCTCCACTGACCACCCCCCCCCCCGGCCTTTCGAAGCATGCTGTCTTTCACCAGGGACTGGCCCTGCCTCGTCACATGCCCAAAGCATGGAAGGTGCAGTCTCAGCATCCTTGCATGTAGGGGGCATGATCCCCTTTCTCTCTACTTACAGAGCACTTCATCATTCCAGAAGAAAAGCCTGAACTCAGGGCGCTGCCACCCTTCACTCCCCTATCCCCGTCCTGACAACCACCCAACTGCTTGCTGTCTCGGTGAATTTGTCGATTCTGGACGTTTCACACATGGACTCATGCAACATGCAGCCTTTTGCGCCCGGGGTCTTTTACTTAGCCTGATGCTACGTAAGCTCATTTGGCTTGTGACGTAAACCAGGCTTCCGTTCTTTGTTATGATGCGCTATTTATGATTGCATGAGACTATGTCAAACCAAACCCTACTGACACTGATTTGATTCTGCTTCATAACGACCCTATAGGACAATCTACAATGAACCCAGAGGGTCTCCAAGGCTGTAAACCTTGACTTGAATCATTTATTTCTGGTTGGTTCAGCTTTAGAAATGCCCAAGATGTTACTCCCTTTTCGCTTTCTAACTCCAGGTCTTGCTACATTTTGTTCCAATGTTTTGCTTTGTCTTCTCAAGCTGCCGGTGCACATTTTCTGTTTTGTTTTCTTGTCGCTTCTTTTCTTCCTTTTGCTTTGTCTTCTCTACGTCAGCACCTAACACCAAGAAGCGTCCATAAACTAGGTGGTTTACTCTCTAATGCACCTTTCTTTTACATTTTCATGGAAAAGGGTAGTTGGGATAATTAGCAAGTGTCTCTCCCTTACTTGAGAAACACTGAGAGGTGAAGGAGTTAACTGATGAGTTTACAATTATTCCAGGACAGGAGTTGGTATGCTTTTCTATAAAGGGTCGGGTTGTATGTGTCTAAGGCTCAGCTGGCCAACTGGTCTCTGTCACAGCTACTCAACACTCCCATTAGGGCACAAAAGTACCCCAGCACAGAGATGGCTCGTTCCCATCAAACTATAGCTGTCGACATCCTTTCATATAATTTTCTTTGAATTTCATACCATTGTCATGTGTCATGAAGTATCATTCTTCTTTTGACTATGTGTAATTACTTACAAATGTAAAGAAAGATGTGTGAAATCAGAATGGTTGCTGCCTCCGGGGGTGGAGTGCAGGGATTAACTTCAAAGAGGCTTGAGGGAAATTTCTGGAATGATGAAAATGTCCTGTGTTTTGATAGTAGCATGTATTCCAGTATATACTTCTGCCAAAATCCATTGAACTGTGCTCCTAGGCGCTGTGTATTTCGCTGTAATGTCGTCTTACATGCTTTGGGCATGTTGCCAGTGTCAGTCCTTGGGAAAAGGTCGGATAGGAGAAGGAGCAGAGGAGCCGTTAAAGCGAGGAGGAGATGCAGTGGGATGAAGTGACACAGTGACAGCGACATGGGTAGAGAATCATGAGGACGGTACAGGACCGGGCACACTTTCTATCCGTTCATCACAGGGTCCCTGTGAGTCATAGGGGTCTAGACAGCACCTGCCTTATTCACCAGTGCAGATTCTAGCTCAGAGGCAGTGGGGGTTCAGTGGCAGAACTGTCAACTTCCATGTGGGAGGTCAGAGGCCACTTCCCAGCCGATGCACCTCATTCACATCCACCACCCATCTGCCAGGGGAGACTTTCTGGGGTGCCATCATACTGAACACAAGTCAGCCAAGTTTCCAGACTGGGAGAGACTAGGAAGAAAGGCCTGGCGATCTACTGCTGAGATGAACCCCCGGCGACCACAATGGCTCCATTTACAACCAGAAACAGCACGCATGGGGCAGCATTTTATTTATTCTGTGTGCATAGGGTTGCTTTTCACTGGAGGCTGAGTCATCGGCAGCCAACAATGACTAGAAATTATATCCCAATAAAAAGTTAAAATAGAAAAGGCACCACAAAGTATTTTTAGCTCGTGGGACATACAAGAAGAAGTTGTGGTCGGATTTGGCCCCGGGCTGTAGTAGCATGGGTTATTCAGGCATATACTTTATGGACTCTACTTTAGAAGACTGTCTACTTCAGAAGGATAAGCTTCAAGTGGAACCTCTGACATTCAAGGCCAGGGCCATGTGCTCCCCGATGCAGGACAGGACAGGGTGAGTGCTACGGGGCACTGGAAGGCTGTTGTTGTTATGGCCATTGAGTGGATGAGCTCATAGCAACGCCATGAACAGATCGGAACCATGCCCCATCCTGTGCATTCTCTCCATCTGTGGCATGCTCAAGGCTCGCCCCATGCTTACCTCTAACTGCTAAGCTCCACTTCCTGTTCCTTCTGTGCAACACAAATCCAGCCTCCGACACCTGAACTCTGGGCCCCTGGTGTGCTGTGTTAGCACTTGGACACTGCTCTGGCATGGTGGTGCTCTAGAAATAGCCCCTCCTTATTTTTAACACCCTTGCCTAATCAGTGGGTTCCAGTTTCTCCCAGAAAATTCCAGGGCCCAGCGATGCAGGTTGGAATTCAGAAGGTCTAAGCCATAGTGCTGAACAGGCATCTCCTCTGTCCTTGCCCACCCTTCCCGATAAAGGCCCTCGAGGCACCAGGCTTCCTCTCCCGCTGCGTCCTGAAGGCCCTGGGCTGTGGCCAGAGTCCAAGCAATTTCTCCACATGAGCAAGGAGCCTGTTTTCTGAAAGCTTTTATTTCAAAGTGTTGTTAAAAATATGTCTCAGGGTTTCTGGAAGCCAAGGAAGAGAGCATATGTTGGGACAGGGAAGAAGAGAGGGCCTACTCACATGGGGGCACCTAGAGCTGGCCAATGAGCACACGGACCCCTGTGAACTTTGCAGAGAGCCGCTGAAATCAGCTCATCAAATGGGCACCATTAGAACAACTCCCAACCCAGTGAAAGGGTCAGCCAGCAAACTGCAGAGAAGTGGATGCCACCTCTTGTGACCCTAGTGTGTCCGAATAAAACTGTACTCTGAGAGGTTTTCAAAGCTGTGATATTTTGGAAGAAGCTCAACAGGCCTTGCTTCCAAAGCACCTCTGGTGGGGGTGGGGGGGATTCGAACCACCAACCTTTCAGTTAGTAGTGACTAATGGTTAGTATCATCCAGGGACCCAGTGAAAGGCCAGGGCTCTCCAGACACCTGTCCTCCTGCCTGTCCTCCTCTTGACTTGCAGGTCTGGAATCAAGTCCACGTGGTTGATCCCCCAGGAGCCCGCCTAGACCAGAGAAAAGGCGGAGAAGGAAGCAGCCTGTGGCCACAGGGCGGGAGATGGGAAAAGGGAGATGGAAGATTCTCGTCTCCTCTTTAGAAGTTCCTGGGGGACCAGTTTCCAAGGGGAAAGCTCCAAGAGTCGCTGAGATCTTGGGGGGGCTAGTGCTCGGGCTCCGCGTCCATGCAGGATTCCCACGGGTTCTGGGGCATTCGAGGCAGTGAGAAGAGCAGGAGGGCTAGGCCGCCGAGGAAGAGGAGGACGAAGGCTGCGCAGGCGCAGGCGAAGGACCAGGCGTAGTAATAGTCGATCCAGACCGTGTCCTCGCTGTCAATCATGCGCTTCACCGACTGCCGCATGACCTCCACCGAGACCAGGACGCAGAGGCCTGTGGGCAGAGCGCACTCAGGCAGGGAGCCTGGAGGGGGCCGCTGCTCGTGGAGAAGGTGGGGCCCCCGGCCAGCCCTGGGGGGATGCGCAGCTGTGGAGAAGGTGGGGACCCCAGGCCTGTCCCTTGAGGCGTTATGCTCATGGAGAAGGTGGGACCCCTGGGCTGCGCTGTGGGGTACGCTGCTCGTGCAGAAGCTGGGGCCTCCGACAAGCTCTAGGGGGACGCTGCTCGTGGAGATGGTGGGGACCCTGCGACAGCGAACCCTGTGCCCACCACACAGTACACTCCTCCCTCCTGAGGTGACCTGGTCCTTTGCCCTTCTCTCTCTTCCTGCTCGCTCGCTCTCTCTCTCCCCCCATCTCCTCTGTCTCCCTGTCCCCCTTCTCTCTCTCTCTCCCTCTCCTTGCCCCCCCTCCTTGCCCCCTCTTTGTCTCACTCTCTCCCTCCCCTCTCTCCCCCCTTTCTTTCTCTCCCTGTCCCCTTCTCTCTCTCCCTGTTACCCTCTCTCTCTCCCTGTCCCCTTCTCTCTCTCCCTGTTCCCTTCTCCCTGTCTCCTTGTCTCTCTCTCCCTGTCTCCTTTTCTTTCTCTCCCTGTCCCCTTCTCTCTTTCCCTGTTCTCTTCTCTCTCTCCCTGTCTCTCTCTCCCTGTCTCCTTCTCTCCCTCTCTCCCTGGCCCCTTCTCTCTCTCCCCTGCCCCCTTTTCTCTCTCTCCTCCATTTCCCCTCCCTTTCTCCTTGTCCCTCTTTTTCCCATGATGATGTAGACTTTTTTTAAAAATTAAAGTGAAATTGACATAACAAAAAGGAGCATTTTGAAGTGAGCATTTTCATAGCGTTACTGCATTCACAGTGCTGGGCAACTGACTCCTGATCTGATTCTAGAATATTCCCATTCCTGCGAGGGAAACCTTGGATCTGTTGAGCAGTTGTTCCTGACCTCACATCCTCCTTGCTGTCCAGTACAGCCAATCTGCCTTCTGTCTCTGTATTTCACCTTTTCTGGACATTTCTCAAAAATAGAATCATACAACTAGTGGCCTATAGTCTGGCTGCTTCCACTTTGTGTAATGCCCCCCGCCCAGTAATCCATTGTGTATTGTTGTATACTGTCCAGTAAGAAATGACCCATAGCTGACCCTCCTGTGAGTTTTCAGAGGCAGTTAGTTTATCAAACAGGCCGACATTACCCATCCTTCTCCTGTGGAGCAGCTGATGGCTTTGAACCGTGTGCCTTCGGGATTGCAGCACAGCATTTTGCAGCTAGGCCACCAGAACTCCTTTTCTGTTCTGTGGCACTGCATGATTGTATTATTGCACTACAGTGACGTGTTTATACTTCGTCCTTTCCAGGGCTGAGAGGCATTCCCTTGTATGGACGGATGTGCCAGGCTGGTTACTGGTCCACCCACTGGTGGATGTGTGGGCATGTCCCACCGTTTGGCTGTGCTGACTCACGCTGCTGTGTGTCTACCTGCACTTGTTCTGACCCCGTTCTTTCTTGATTATTTCCTGAGAACTTTATTCTGTACACTGAGGACTAAGTAACTGAGAAACACAAATGTCCCAACATCTACCTTCCAACCCCTGTGGAGTCATTAAGCTCTTGACCAAGCTTGGCTGCTGTTACAGGGCTTGGAAAAGGATCCACAGCTGAATCCTGACATAGGTGTGAGAATGGGGTGTCAGGACCCTCCCCGTGGCATCTCCCCCTGACTCAGGCTCACGGGCAGGAGCCCACGTCCCACCTGCGAAGGCATAGAACATGGACGCTGGCCTCAGCATGTAGTCCCTCTTCTTCCGGAAGGACAGCAGGAGGCAGATGGTGCCCAGGATGATGAAGACGAGGCTGAAGATGGAGATGGCGGCCGCCGAGATGCTATACTCTGCAAACGAGAGGGGGCCGTGGGGGCTCACGATGGGGACAGAGCCTAGCTTCAGCCCTAGGGGCATTTGTCCTGCCTGGCTTCACCTCCCACCAGACGGGCCAGTGACAAAACCAAGATTTCTGCTTGCTCCAGTTTTGCAGGGAACAGAAGGTCTGAGAGGGACTCAGGAAAGCCTCAACATTGCACAGTGATCGAGTGGTGAGTGGGACTTTCCTGTGATCTCCTTGTCCCATGCTTTTCAGCTCACGACAGCGCCAGTACTGCCCACACAAGGTCCAGGCCTTGGAGGGATGGGAGCTGTGCTTCTGGACCTTTCTAGAACAGAGACCTTTCTGTGTCCAGGACAGAGGAGGTACCTGAGCTGTAGTGGCCTGTCCTGGGGCTGACAAAGGCCTCTGGAAGGAAACCAGCGTGTGGCTTGCTGTGCTTCATGGGTGTGGAAAGGTGTGTGTGTGTGTGTGTGTGTGTGTGTGTGTGCGCGCGCGCGCACGTGCATGCGTGTGTGTGTGTGTGTGTGTGTGTGTGTGTGTGAATTTGTCATAGAGAATGCGTGGGTGAGTGAATGGATGTGCCCTATGTGTAAAGATTTGTCTCTGCGTCTGCCCCCCACGCTGTGCATGTAAGGATTTGTCAGAATGTTTGCGTGAGTGCACGCCTGTGTGTGTCAGGATCTGCCAGTGAGTGTACTAGTGTGTGCCACGCGGGTACAGTTTTGTCGGGGTGTGTGTGATGCATGTAAAGATTTGTCAGTGTGAGTGTAGTGGTGTGTTGAATGAGTGTGTTAGTGTGCATGAGTGCATGTACCGTCTATGGGAGGATTTGTTATGAAAGTTGTGTGTGTGTGTGTGTGTGTATGTGTCATAGACACTGTGAGTATATTAGTGTGAATGTGAATATATTCGTGTACTGGCACGTATGAGTGTGTCTGTGTAAGGATTTGTTAGGTAAGTGTGTGAGTGTATCTGCATGTGCGTGCTGAGTGTATTAGGATTTGTCTGTGTGAGCATGTGAGTTTATTAGTGTTAGTGTGCGTACTTTGCATGTAAGGATTTGTCATCCTGTGTGTGTGGTGTGTGCACACGCATGCGTCTTAGGCAGCCATTGGCACAAACACACACACAGGCCTGGGTCTGTATTTACTGCAGTGGGAAGTGTCTGAGCCCCGTGGAACGTGACTAAAGCCCCCCAAGCAGTGTGCTGGGCCTGGCCCACCTCTCCACTTGTCGGCTGTCTCATGTTCTAGACGTGATTTATAGTGAGGGGTGCATTGCACCGTCCCCAGGCTCGATTTCTGAATTGCCCCCTAGGGATTTGAGCTCTCGTTCCTCTCCACGGCGCCTGTCACAGCAGCTCCAGGGGCTCTGGGGAACCTGTGTTCCTGCTGCAGGTTACAAACCTACCTGAAAAATGTCTCTTTTTCAAATCCCCCAAGACCTGATGCTCCGCAGCTCCGGTCACCCAGGGACCAAGTGCTGCCGGCTGGCCCACGGCCCTCGGAATGAGGTGACGGTCAAGCAGCGGGACGTGCTGACTTCCGCCAGCACCAGGGAGTCAGGGCTTTGGTGCCACACGATCCTCGCCCCCTCCCAGCACCCTGGGACTCACCTTTCTGAGTGGTGACTTCAAAGATCTCCGAAGTCTCACCCGGGTTGAAATGCCTGAAGTAGGAGCAGTTCTTCTCTGCAAAGGAGGGAGGCAGTCTGTGGGTGGGTGGGGAAGGGGCTCATGACCACCCAGAGGGAATATGGGAAAGAGGGCATCCCCAGCTGACTCCTTTCTCCTCAAACCCCAAAATTGGGACAGAAATAAGCATCTTCCTCTGACCCTAGAATAAAATTTCAAGGAGCTCTGGTGGTCTAGTGGTAAGAAGCTGTGCTGCAATCCCAAAGACACTCTGTTCGAATCCACCAGCTGCTCTGTGGGAGAAGGATGGACAGTCTCCTCTGTGTGATGCGTTGCCTCTGAAAACTGCTGGAGGGTTACTCAGTTTGGACTTGCTGGCGCACAGGAAGGACAACAAAGAACGCATTTCAGTGGGAGCGTGGGGCTGCATGCTCCACAGGAGGCCACGGCTGTTACCGATACAGATGGCACTGCGGGCATTGAATTCCATTCGACAGACGCAGCAACTGGGGCTCAGGGCTCAAGTCCATTGTCAGAAGGTACAGAGTTCACAGGCAACAAGTGACCACACAAGGGCTCCCAGCGGGGACTGATTCTGTCCCCTGAGGACACTGGGAAGTGCCTAGAGACATATTAATTATCACAGCTAAGCCAGGGGGGAGGTACCTACTACAGGTACTACTGCTGTTGGTGGACAGAGACCAGAGATGTGGCTCAGAGCCCTATAGTGTCCAGGAAAAGCTCACAGCAAGGAATGACCATGCAGTGCTGCGATCCTGGCTGAACCCAAAATTTAGGGTTGATGGTTTTTGTTGTTGTTGTTGTTTGTTTGCTTTTTAATCAGAATACAGGCCTATCCCTGGGTTCATTGGGTGAAGCCTGGGCATCAGTTTTTCAAAAGCATCCCAAGGGATGTCAATGCTGGGTCTGGACTGGAACCCAGTTTGTTTTGTTTGGGTTTTTTTTGTTGTTTGTTTTGTTTTGGTATTTTTTGTAAATACTGTTTTATTTACAAAGTTTGTATGCATTGTTTTTCACATTGGATCTTTCCCATTTCCTTCACCCCTCCACCCATCAAATTGTGAAACCCTATGATTAACGCACCCCATCCTCAGCCCTCTGTTCCCCCCTGTTTGGATGCTCATACTCGTTCTACAATTGCACTGGAACTCTTTCTCCAGACCTCTCAAAGAAGGCTTTTCCAAGGGCCATCTGGATTGAGCTTGGAGGTGGAAAAGTATCTCCATTTGGGCGATGGATGTGACCAGCATGTCATTTCAACAGAGCCCCTACGCTGTGGTCACAGAGGAAGAAGAGCCCAGACAGGACCCACCATGGCTCGTGGCTGCGCCAGGCTGGTAATGGTCACAACGTGGAAGAAGATGTGAGGGCAATGAGTCAAACGCCTGGGTCTGTTGTATAATGGGGGCACGTGCACAGGAGAAAGGTTCAAAGCAAAAATTCATGCTGACTTGAGATATGATTTCAGGGACAACTTCTTTTCCTATTTAACCCTCAGACCTTTCTCTTATAACTAGACAAAACTCAACAAAACCAAAATACACTTGCTGCATCAAGTCAATTCCAGCACATACTTGGAGCGGCGCTGGTGTAGTCCCCAGGGAACTGCATGGCTACCCCAAAGGCAAAGAACTGTCTGGCTGAATCCACCGGCTGCTCTGAGGGAGAAAGATGGGTGGTCTCCTCCTGTGCGATTTACAACCTCAGAAAATCCACTGGAGGGTCTCTGACTTGATGCCAGTGAGTGTTGAGGGACAGAATAGGGCTGCCCCATAGGTCTCCAAGGCTACAGATCTCTACAGAAGCAGATTGCCCGGCTATCTCCCTAGCAACAACTTCTTGTTGTTTTTAGGTACAATTGAGTTGAATATGACTCATAGCAACCCTGTGAACAACGGGTCGAACTCTGTCCTCTCTTGTACCAACCTCACAATCTCGGGCACCCTCAAGTCCATTACTGCAGTCACTGTACTGTGTCAATCCACCTGGTAGAAGGGCTTCTGTTCTCTTGCTGTGCCTCCACCTTTCCCAGCCTGCTGTCCCTCTCTGATGCATAGCCTCTCCTAGCAACATGTGCAAAACATGTGAGATGAAGCTTTATCACCCTTGCCTTCTAGAAACACTCGGGCTTCGCCTTCTCAGGACATATCTATCTGTTTCATTGACTGTTCGAGGGACATTCAGTACTCTTCTCCAGCAGATTAAAAATGCTGGCCTTTCAGTTAACCGTCCAATGCTCAATCTATTGTGCCACTAGGGAGTCCTCCACAACGATGTATACTATAAAATAAAAGGAAGATCATACTGCTTATTTAATAGAGTTTTATATCTTTTATTCTTGAGTTAGGATGAACGCATTATTTATTTCTGAAAAACAAAACCAAAAAAAAAAAACCTCAGAGTCTGTTGCTTTTTACTTGTGTGAGGCCCTTCACTGATTTCGCCTTCCTGTGAGTCAGTGACTCTTAATAGGAAAAAAGTTTCCCTTGTCCCTCAAGTGGTCAGCACCTTGTGCATGAATTCATTTCCAGGCCACTTGGAAGCCTTTAAAAGGAGTTGAGGCTAACTCTTCTCTGGAACAATTCTTGTTGTTCAAAATCTTCCTTGCTTTTGACCTAAATCACGGAACTGCTGCTTAAGTCTCTGCCCGCCTGCCCTTCCACCTGTGTGTGTCCTGTGGTTGAGGAAGGACGTGATCCCAGATTAGCTGCAGTAAATGTTGCAGCAGGTAAACAGCTTTCTCTTGGAGCGTCTATATTTAAATCGCTTTCCTTTTGAACGGAGGTACCTGAGGCGTCTGGCTGCCAGCAGTGATGTCAGAATCGATGCTGCTCTTTTCTTCTCAGCATCCGGGGCTATTTTAGAGACGAATGCAAACCTCTTGTACTTGTTAGATTATTAGCTATAGATTCTCTTGAGTCACTGCTTCAGAATGGCTTGTGCTCTGTCATATGTCTCCGTGTGTCTCCCTCCAGACAAAGGAACATTTCTGTTTCGTTCTTTAAGGGCCAATTTCAGTTGTCATTGAAAACCCTCTGAAAAGAATTGACTGCGTTCAAGTGTATTTCACGGTCAGCTGCTTCCCTGATGACTCGCAATCCCCAGTTAAAAGCCTCTGGAGCAGAGAGCGGGGAGATAAAAGGCCTTGGGGCGCCTGGCCAGGCGCTGCGAGTGGGTGTCTCCGGGTTGCTGAGGCTCCCCTGATGCAGGTAGCGTTTGGGTTATCAAGTCCCAACCAGATGAACACTGGGCTCTGCTCTAAGTGCTTGGATAGACACGGTGTTCGTTTGCACACACACACACACACACACACACACACACACCCCTCTCTCCCCCTCTCTCACACACACACTCTCTCTCTCTCCCTCTCTCTCTCTCACACACACACACTCTCCCTCTCTCTCTCTCTCTCACACACACACACACACACACACACTCTCTCTCTCACACTCTCCCTCTCTCTCATACACACACACACACACACTCTCTCTCTCTTCCCCTCTCTCTCTCTCTCACACACACACTCTCTCTCTCACACACACTCTCTCTCACAACACACACTCTCTCACACACACACATACACACTCTCTCACACATACACACTCACACACACACTCTCTCCCTCTCTCTCACACACACTCTCTCCCTCTCTCTTTCACACACTCTCTCCCTCTCTCTCTCTCACACACTCTCTCCCTCTCTCTCTCACACACACTCTCTCCCTCTCTCTCACACACACTCTCTCCCTCTTTCTCTCACACATACACTCTCTCCCTTTCTCTCTCACACACTCTCTCCCTCTCTCTCGCACACACTCTCTCCCTCTCTCTCTCTCACACACTCTCTCCCTCTCTCTCTCACACACACTCTCTCCCTCTCTCTCTCTC